AATGGGAAAATGGGAATGGGAAAATGGGAATGGGAAAATGGGAATGGGAAAATGGGAATGGGAAAATGGGAATGGGAAAATGGGAATGGGAAAATGGGAATGGGAAAATGGGAATGGGCCATTAAATCAAAATGTTCACACCAGATAACGTCTCATGCCTTGGAAATTATTTAAATTTTTTATGGGAGTGGCTCCCTGGAATCTACAATTTGTCAATTAACTCGTTCTCGGCATCTCTCAGTCCTTGTACTAATCTGTCCTCTTCTTGTCTTTTCTAACTAGTTCTATTTCTCTTTCCTTCTGCTTTCTGCCCCTTTAGATGAAGCGTATTGTTCTGTAACTTATCAATACCTCCCATCGTGTCTCCCATTACTGTACAGGAAATAGAAACTATATTTAAGGCGTAATCTCAGTCACAATCTGGAGAAGAGTTCAAGGCGCTACCTACTCAGCTATAGCAGCTCACTTGGGAAGGATCACCTCTAGAGAGGAATATACAGGGAGGCCCCAAAAAAATGGCACTCTTTTCAGCGCGCATTTTTTAAATTTCGGTTACGAAAAATCGGCGTTGCGCTCACCAACTCGACCCAGCACCTACTGGGCGTCCCTGCACTCACGAGAAGAGGAAGGGAGGGCTGACTGGATGTGCCTGCCGCCGTATGCGGTCGATGAGCGCAACACTGATTTTTAGTAACCGATATTCAATAATTTTTTTCTAGGTCATCCTATAAGATATTTCAAGTCTGGAAAAAAAAAAAAATTTTGTAGTTGACCCCCAATAAAAATCATTTCTTGGAGGTCGATCGAGCTAATTGACAGTGAACGGAGGCAACCTTTCGTTTCTTCATGGATACTTTTTTCAGGGCTGGTACGCTCTACTTTCACATGTTTATAGGAGAATAAGTCTTCCCCAACCTTTGATAGATTAGATTAGCAGACTATTAGGTCAGGTTGTGTTAGGAGATTGGTTAGGTTAGGTTAGTAGAATGGACTATAAATGCCATCATAGGATATGACGAGTGCCACTTATAATCCAATCTGTGGCCCTTCCTTTCTAGAAGAGCGGGAGATAGATCACACCCTATGGTAGAGTACACATTATAGCAGTACCCTTTTTTCTGCTTGGAGACGAACTTCGTTCAATAGAAACAATGTAATTTTTCCCGAATGGAGATCGAATAATATTGAACTGTTTCAGTCATGGAAAATGCAGAATTCTACGGTGAGAAAAGGAAATGGATGTATTCAATATTTCAAGTAAATGTGGATTATCGATAAATGGTGACAATATTATTTACTTGCTGCATTTTACACAAAGTTGCCGCCTTCTTGAGGAGAGTCCCTAGCAAATAATGATTTGGAAACATATCTGGAGCCTGATTTGAACTGCAACAGAGTGTGGACCAGTGGAATGGACAAGCTTATCATTGATACTGAGAAATTGGATGGGTAAAGTAAGGAAGAATGTGACATACCTGGATATGAGAGAGCATGAAAGCAGCAGCGGTGATCGCAACGCATCCTCGACCTTGTCCGCTGATGCACTTAAATCCTCCATGGTAATGTGTCTCGAGAGGAAGAGTGACCAGGGTTGGTTTTTCGCCGAACACGATAGAGGAGACTTGAGGTCTCGTGTTAAGAGTCACTGGTCTTACCCTCAACCCATAGGGCGATTCATGAGAGAGGACGTGATCAAGTAGGCGGGGAAATCCCACATCCCGACATCCCCCCTCCAGGATCCTCACGCCTAAAGGATAGTATAAAGGAAAACATCGCATCTCCCTCAAAGGTTAGTAGAAAACTTATTGCAACAGAAGACAGCACAACAAAAGGCAGTCGGGTGAAAGGACAATAATTTGGATGGGGAAAATTGACTGAAGCTGAGTTGATCGTTGCAAAGCAAAACCATTGACTCCATCATTCGTATTTGAGCTTATTTTCCCTCCAACTCCATCCAACGTATCTCCCCCCTCCCTGATAATTTCTGGCGTCGACCAGAAGTATCTTTAAGAGTCAGTGGGCTATTTAAAAAAAAAGGGCAAAATTTAGTGATCCTATAGTTCTTGCAGTGCTGATTCAAAGGAAAAATTTACTTTTCACTTGTATCTCCGCAGGGCACATTATCTGAGTGGTAATTATTCCAAGAAACACCCTCGCCCTGAAGAAACTGAGTGACCTCGAAAGCTGATTTTGTTATACACGTTCCTGTTATTATGTAGGCATCAGGACAAATAATAATTTTGGTAGGTGGACTTAAATTTTTGTGGAGACATTTTCCAAGAAATCCTCTTCCCAGCTACACCAAAACGTAATGAAAGATGAAATTGTGGAAAGAAGTAGTTCTTGGAAAGGTCATTTAAAGTTAAGCTCTAATTTTGAGGTCATTCCCTCAGAGAACGGCGTTTTCTGTGGGAACGTTTCTAAGATGTTTTCCAACAGCAAATAGGAAAGTCGTGGAAAACTGAAGCACGGTATAGTATTGACGAGCTGATCATTTTAGGAAAGATTCTATTTTTTGTAATATCCCCCGGGGATTTAATTTTTTAGGAAGCTGCACCAGATTTTTTTTTGAAACAGTAAAACAGGCAAAAACAATAACTTTCAATATCCTAAACGTTGCTTTCCAAAAATTCACTTCAGCGAAAAACATAAGATTGGGGTCCTCCCACCTTCCAGGCCCTTCCTAAGACAGGGCGAATTGGTAACCTAACGAATTTTCGCGAAGGAAAACAATTATTATGCCATAAAATGATCTGTAAGAAGGTAAATTTTCCTGCGAAAATGAAGGAATCCTCCACTTGCGTATTGTTGGTAAAATTAGGCTGGCAATGACGTCTCACAACCAGATGCAACTTGAAGGCAAAAATCTCAAACATATATAGACTAGCCGACCCGCGGAAGAATCCATGAACTTCAGCTCAGGAATTCACGAGTTCAGTCAGCTCAACGCTGCAGCCGCTCTTTTTCGTTCTCGAGGACGTATCGAACATTTGCGATGGCTCGAAAGAAACTACGACCTCGAGAGCGAGACGGAGACCCCAACCTCTGGAAGACATCCACGAACTTCGGGTCGGCCTAGGCTAAGCATGCAGCCTTTTCGGGAATTCACAAGTTTTGTCAGCGGCCCTCTCAAAGTTCTACGAAGCAGTCGCTCGAACACTGTACGTCTTGCGCTTTCCGCCTACCCCCTCCCCCATACATGGGGGGTGTTAACACCTCGATGCGGACTTTCCCGTGGGGACGTGTAAAACGTCCAAACGCATATCACTTGGAGTCCCCTTTTATCCCGCTGGAGGAANGCAGTCGCTCGAACACTGTACGTCTTGCGCCCCCCCCCCCCCCCCCACCCACCCATGGGGGTGTTTACATCTATGATTCGGACTTTTCATGTAGGCCTATGAGTGAAAAATACAGATAGAGAAACGGGAGGGTTACGACGCGGCCGACGGCGTCCTTTTCTCAGCGCTCCTGTTCCATCCCATCAAGATGGGATGTCGCCGCTTTCGCCCTCGGGAGTCACTCTCCTTGTGAGAGTGTCGATTAATACGAGGACGGGGTTCCGATTAATAAAGGGACCGGGTTCCTAATAAATATAGGGACGGAGACCTCAATCCCGCGAGGAAGTCATCCTTCCTCCAGCGGGATAAAAGGGGACTCCAAGTGATATGCGTTTGGACGTTTTACACGTCCCCACGGGAAAGTCCGCATCGAGGTGTTAACACCCCCCATGTATGGGGGAGGGGGTAGGCGGAAAGCGCATGACGTGCAATGCCTCTCTCTCCCGTTCTCCAGAATGGATCCGACAGCCACAACGACTGGAAAGAAATTGCGAGCTTGACAGGGCGAGATGGACATCCAGAGCCAGGCAGAAGGCGCCGCACATGCGCACATGGATGCGGAGATACACACAGAACCCCAAACATATGATATGTATAGAAGATATGTAGACAAGCATCTAATATACAAACTAATGTGAGAAACAAGCTCCGTTCAAAAATCGTTGAAATAATGAAACTAAAGAAATGCAGAATTAATCAATTCCATAGAGCTGTTTGTCCCATCGCGTTCATATTATTGGACGTTTTCCGATGATGTTCTGCATCATACGACCCTTAAAAAAAAGGTACAATAAGCCACCTATGACTTTCTCCTAACAGTTGTGAGATAAATAATCATGAAATTTCTATTCTAGTGAAATTTACCTGAGTGACTGTAAATAATATCTAGAACTTGCCAGAAACCTCATGCGACAAATCATTAACACATGGAATACTTATATGAATTAAAATGTTGTCCTTAAATGTAAATTTTCTGAGAACAGAAAAACGTTCCCTATAAAAGTCGAATAATATCCCATTCGGAACAACAACGTGGTGTCAACATTGAGAAAAGATTGAAACATTGAGACTTGGTTGAAGTTGAGAATTTGACAGAGAATCGACATCGGTGAAAAGCTAGCTATTCGTAATTAACCGTATTTTCAGCATTTGGTGACTACTCGTGAATTAGCGAAAATAGGTTCTACGAATTGAGACAAGATGGCGCATAACAGCCGCTGCTGCGATTCTTACCCTTGTGCCCTGAAATAAAGAATACCCTGCATTCTCATAGAGAACCAGATCTCTTTCCATGTACAGCATAAGGGATGGCTTAGGAATTTCTAGATAGACCTGTTTAAGGGGGAATCCGGCAGAAGGAGACTCAAAGTACTTCAGGCCAGTGGGTACGAGGTGCAATTTATCCAAATTTCCACATGGCACGCTTCCATAGAGGATGGAGCATGAAAACATGCCCGCAGGGCTGTTTTTCTCAACTGGACAGAGTTGAGTCATGTAAGTACTCAATTGGAATTCTGATCTAGTAAAGGAAATAAAACTTCCAGGGTCCTTTGTGTCGGATGATTGTACTCAACAGAGTTACTGCTAGTATCATATTACTTGGGTACCCTCCGTCATTTATCGAAGCTATACTCAGTCTCATCAGCTAATTAAAGCTCTTCAGACTCTGGACTAGGGATGAGGTACTATAATGCCTGTAAGTTGAGAATTCAACTTTGACACAACGTTGCACAGCAGCAACAAAAATCAACCTTTTCTCAACGTTCCCACAACGTTGTTCTGCTGAATGGGATATTACAGCTAATAAGAAAATGTTGAAGCAAATTTATAAATGGGGGTAACACGTTTCGAATACATTTCTTTAATTGTTTATCAGATGAGAATTTGTGACTTGCCTATGTCTGGGGAGTCGTGAAATTTCTTAGCAAACTCCTTGAGATCGAAGTTTGGCAAAAAATGTATGATATATGATTGGAAGGCAATGGTGAGAGAAGCTAGGGAGCCCTGGAATCGAGAGAAGGATCCTAGGATAGACTCGCATATATCACTCAAAACGTCCGTGTAGCTAGGTCCGATGGGCTGAATGGGTGCATCATGGAATGCGATGTGAAGTCTTTGTTCTTCTTCCTTCCCCTTCATCATCTTCACCAGAAGCTGTTCCATGACTCGGGGGGAAAGAGACTCAACATGCCCGAGTCCATGCAGCAAGAGAAGGTCGTGCATATCGAAGACTTTGATCGCCTTCCCCAGTCCTTTCCTCTTCAACCTCTCTTTCATGTCCACCATGGAGAGGCATCTCGGATACGAATTTCTGTTCCATCTGCTACTTTCAACTAGTATAATCTGTGAATTGATTGTGGCTGCTGATTCAGCATCCTTCTCCTGCTCTGCCTTCCTCATGAGTCTCTCGATGAGAAATGTTGTCTTCCCAGAGCGATTCGATCCGAAGAGAAGCTCGAATTTTCTCTCGTTGGTTTTAGCATTGTGTGAACTAGGACAGTCTGGTTCCATGAACATGGACCACTGTAACTCTTCATAAGAGGCATCATCTGGTGGACTAGTACGAACGTCAGTAGCCCGATGAAGGTTGCTAGGGGAATATGAGGAGACGAGTCCAAGCTGTACAGGTTCTTCCCAGTGAGTGGAGGGCAATGGTGGGTGTGTGATGATGACATGAAGGGATCTTCTGGCCATGCTCACCATACGAGACCAAGAGTGATAAAAGTAGTTTCCATCATCCAATAGGATGAGATGCTGGAATGACATTCCTGTCACTTGGAATTCATAGAAGATGAAGAATTCCGGGTTGGAATGACCTCGGAGTTCCCCATTTGAGTTGAGGAAGGCAACTCGTTGCTTTAACCGATCTCCAAGATCTCGAACCAGAACGTTCCTTTCCCAATCTCTCAAGGTGATGATTGTAAAGACTGGAGAATCTGCCAGCGCTGATCGAATCGCCACAGCAGCTTCAGAAGCCCATAGGTATGCCATCTGTGTCAAATGTTCAGAAGCTTTGATACAGACCACTGTTGGAGCTAGTTTTCCCTCGCCTGGAACCTCCCTATAAAGAGCTCCATATTCCAGGCCTTGCATGGGGAGGAAATTTGAGCTAGTGAACCTATTCCGATTGAACCGAGTTACTTCTTTCAAAAATTGCCCTGTATCTTTTGTGCTTCGCTTGACCTCTACGAGCAACTCCACAATTTCTTGTCCCAAGGAATCGATCACTGTCTGAAGATCAAGAGTTTCCCAGTAACTGGCGTCACTGGGACGCCAGGCAATCCAAACACTTCGACATTTCTTATTTCCTGCGAAGTTTTTCCAGCTACGCCCGATTTCTTCAGATTCGCTTTCCTCCATTCCCCAGTTGACGGGCATTTCATCAATCAGCACATGCCTTTCTTTTACAGAATTTACCTTTTCGAGAAGAGAACCAACTC